AAGAGCACTGAAATAATGTTTTTTTTAGTTTTTTTGGTTTTGTTTTTTTTTGGTTTTGTTTTTTTGGATTGGGTTTTATAGGTTTGTTAAAGGAAAGGGGCTGGTGTTTCTTAGGGTTTGAATTTCGACAACGCCCCTAAGCGCTAGAGTTGATAGTGATGTCGTGGAGGAGGCGGACCTGAACTGCGCAAAACGCAGTGGTAGAGTTCGGCCCCCGAACCAGAACGGTTACATTGTTGTTCCTTTAAAGGGCTCCTTTGAAGGGCTCTGTTAGAGGGTTCTTTTGAAGGGGCTCCTTTCAAAGGGCTTCTGTGGAATTTAGAAGGCTCCGGTTCCCTTAACGGGTTCCTTTAAAAGGATTACCAGAACCAGGCGCAGCGATTCGAGGTTTAGGGAAAAGTTGGGCTAGGGCTCATGGTTCAGGGTTTGTGGTCAGGGATTGGAGTTCCCTAAACCCTGAACCGCAAACCCTAAACCCTGAACCCTAAACCCTAAAAGGTGGGGCTTTACCAACCCCTGGCAAAACCTATGGCGAAAAGGCGCGACCCAGAGAAACCACACAAACAGCATAAGACCAGAGTTGCCAGGGTTTGGGGCCTAGGGTCTTTTTAAAGCTATACCTGTAACCGAAAAGACCTACCTTTTTAGGCTTTGTTATTATGGTTTCTATAATATGGTGTTCCTTAGAAAGGTAGGTCGTTTCGGTTACAGGTAAGGTTTAGGGTTTCGGGCTTTCGGGTCAAAGTTCTTAAGAAATCGGCCGATCCTGTGCCAAACCAGAACAAAAACACTGAAGCTGCTTCGCACTACCTGCAATCTTAAAGCCTCAAAAAAGCCTCATGCCAAGCCCCAAGCCCAAGCCTCACAAACACTCTGTACCCTAAACGCTAAACCCACCAGGAAGCTCTAGACACTTAAACCGTAGAGCCTCAACAATTTACCGATACTATTTCGGGGGGGGGGGGTTCTTGTTCTAGTTATGCCAAAAATTATATCCCAAAAACCCGATACTCTACTTATTAAGGCCCCTATATTACCGTCCCCCCCCGCACTGACGAGGCCCTGCCCTGAGCCATTGGCTTGGTCCACCCTGGCCAAAACACCACCGCGGCTTTGCCCTCGTCAGAGGAGGCCACATTTTTTTTGGGGGGGGGCGGGTTTTGGGTTTCTGGTTAAGGGGTTCAGGATTTCGGATTTTGTCGGGTTCTTGGTTGAAGGCCAATTTAGTCGTAAACGTTACACCTCGTATACTACATGGAATTGCACCGTAAGCACGCGCCAAGCTGGCACATCAAGTGGTGAAAAATCCTACACGGGGACGGGTTTGCCGTTTGGGGTTCAAGGTTTTGGGGCTGGGGGCGGGGGCCTACTTAGTCTCAGGGTTTCCCTGAGTGGCTCCAGGTGAGATTCTGGCTACAACCAGGGCCGCGCTCACCTCGCAGTATCCGGCCTGCTTGGCGGAGCTTTCGTAGCTTAGCTGAACCACTTGTGCCCCTACATTCAAGGCAATGTGCTTTGCAAACCTTACTAGTCGCTGTCAGCACTCGATACTGTGCACAAGAGCCAGAAAAGGTGCAACTGGTCAGGAAGTCAAAGAATTGCTGTGACCCGTTACATGCATACATTGGAAGCCCTGCCCTTGTTTCCTCCTTTCTCTTTGACTTCGCCCTCGTGTTTGCTTCGGTGCGGATGATTGCCGATGTTTTGGTTGGCTCGTGATCAAAAAAGGTGTATTGATCTATGTATGGCTTCATCTCAAGTTTACCGTGCTCTGCATCAAGCATGTGGCAGTGCTTCATGGTCTACGTTTTTCATTTCTAGTACACTCTCCGGGATGGCATCGAACTCCATCCTGCTGACACTCCCTAAACCATTACCTACACTACTTTGGGGGTTCCTTATTTTACATATATATATATAGTAATACATCCCAAAACCCTATTCTAATTATTAAGGCCCCTACTCAGATTGCAGGCTTGGAGTCTGAGGTATCGGGTCCGGGTCTAAGCTCCATGAGTTCGCTTGAACAATCGTTCCCTCCGCTTTTGAGCCCAGCCTACTAACCCTAAACCCGAAACTCTAAGCCCCAAACCCTAAGCCCCAAACCCCAAGCCCTAAACCCGAATCCCTAAACCTGTAAGCCCTAAGCCCGAAACCCTAAACCGAAACCCTAAGCGCTAAAGCACTAAACCCTAAACCCTAAACCCTAAGCCCCAAACCCTAGGTCGGCTTCGGAGGAGACTCCCCAAGCTCACGAGTACATGTGCTTCTTCCAGTTCAACCTGGCTCATGACAGCGACTGGGTCCTTGTTGAGGAGTTTTGTTGAAGTGGCCATCATAGAGATCTATACTTGTTCAGGAGTTCCACTTAAGTTACCACATAGGGGTTTGTAGCAAATGATATGGTGTTCTTGTTAATTATGGTAACTCAAATTAAATTCCTCCGCAAGAACCCAGGCGACTTGAGCAGATCTGACGGCAACAGAATCAGGGAAATGCTGTCACTGGGCAGCCAGTCCCTAAACCCTAAACCCTAAACCCTAGGCAACTCAAAGACCCCCATGTGAGCAGTTCTCTAAATTAGGGTCCCTTTTAGGGTCCCTTTTAGAAGAGTGCCGTACTATATTGGGGGGACCTAAAAGGGACCCTAATTTAGAGGACTACCCATGTGAGCAGCTATGGTGTCTCCTACCAGCTTCCCAGGATGGGTGAAGTGCTGCACAGCATCCAAAGGCAGCACCTACGTCCGAAGTGCATCGTTCTGGCACCATTGAAGGGTTTCGTCCCCTGGCTTCTGGAAGTGCGTGGGCATGAGCTTCTCTTAACCTTGGGCTTTGATTCGTCTGTGGCATCCTTGATGTCGAAGGTGTTGACGGCCGCAGAATCAGCGCAGGAGTTGGACTTGAACCTGTCCTTCGTTGATTCCGATGGCGACTTGGTGCACTTCTTCTGTGCCGTAGAGGACGGTCTTTCCCAGCTGAGGATGAGGATTCACTCAGAGGCCGGTCGCAGGGTGACAAGGCTCCGATCTGCTGGCGAGGACTCTCTGGTGGTACTCCTGGAGGACGGAAGCCCGTTGCAAGTGGTGGCTCCCCGACGCTCTGTAGAGGATGGGAGCTTAACCAGAATTCAAGATGTGGCACGGGGTCTCGGAATGTTGCCAATTTCGATGAAGAAGCCCTTATGCACCTTGTGTGAAAGTTTTTTGGCAAGCAGGAAGGATGGCCAGTGCCCGGATGAGGAAGCCAGCTTCCACTTTATGCAGGGTGCCATGCTTTCTTCACTACACTGGTGGGGAGATGAGTCCGTTCAGGGTCTCCGGAGTTCGTGTGGGCTGCTGGCAGGATACCTGTATGAACCCGGAATGATGAAGCAGAATGCCGAAGCTTATGCCAAAGGCCTTCTTCCGTTCTTGCCAGAGAGACAGCTGCCCAGCCAAACTTCAGAAATCGTTGCCTGCTTTACCTCGTCTATTCCTACATGTTTTGTCCTGGACCCCAAGCCCTGAAACCTGCACGAACCGAGCCCTAGATGGCAAGCCTTACACCGTCAACTCTAGACTCAACACCCTGAACCTTCAATGCCCTTACCATAGAACCTTTATGGAGCCCTGACGGAACCCTTTACTGCCCTTGTAGTAACCCCCAAAATAGGTTTAGGGTTAAGGATAAACCCAGACCATCGGACCTTTTGAACCAAGAGCCCAGGTGGCACACAAGTCGCGCCGGTTCCTTAGGCGGCCGCCTAGCCGGACTTCGCTCAGCCACTGAGGCACGGGGTTTTGAGGGGTCGGTTCGGGCCTTGGTCGCGCCTTTTGGGGCTTTTGGGAGTTTAGGGTTTCCGTAGGGTCTTTTTTAAGTTTTTTGGGTTATTTTGGTGGTGTCGCAATCACGACATCACCACCTGAACCTCCTGCTTCAGAGTTGCAGGCTTCCCGGAGCCCCTATCCATGTAGGGGCTTGAATTGAATGTGAATTCATCGCTGGTTTTATCCTTTCAGGTTCCCTAGTAGGCCCTGCTTTAAGTATAGCGTTGATAGGTAAGTTTTTCTGTGTATATAAAGAATGTGAATGTATGTAATTATTTTCTATACATAATGTATGTATGTATAGAAAATATATCTATATCTATATCTATATACATATAGAGTTATGTATATTCATATGTATATATATATATATACACATACATATATGTATATATTCCAAGCTGTAACACCGTAGTATAATTATGGAGTAGGGCTCCAGCAGTGCCCTTACCAGGCACTTGGGCCTTGAACTCGGAGCAGGATAAGAGTTTCGCTTCTTCTTCATCACTGCAGGGTATTAATGTAGACCCCTGATTAAGGAACTTCCATTCTGTAAAGGCCCGAATGATAGGGTCAGCATGCATCCTACTGAATCCTTACTTTGGGAGAAGGGTTCATTAGTCAGGGGTTTGCAGAAGGGTTGCCACACAGGCCAACACCGATTTGGCCAAGTGCCTTTGTTGCGAACGGAGTTGTGGCAGTTGTCTTGAAGATGGGTAATTAATAAATAATAGCCTAACAAACGGAGCCACTTTGAGGCAGACAGGGCCGACTGTGATCCTAGATCTTGCCATGAGGGTGACGCAGGAAGCCGTCTAAGTTGGACAGCGGTCTGTTTGGAAGTAAGTCTAATCGCCTTGCCCCAAAGCTCAATTGCTCCATGCCCACCGGTATCAGGTGATAGTTACTCAGTCACCTGAACATGAAGCAGTTCAAACCTACATGCACCATGCACCGTGGCAGACGAGAAGCAAACGGGATAAAGCCTAAACCTCAGTGCGGCAGCCGTAGGAGCTGATCGCTGAGCTGCTGAGGCTTGTCCAGGCTGGGGCGGGATGTGGGGTTTACGTGTATCAGCGTGTACGTTAAGGGACTGTGCGTATTCGCTGTGTGTTTGGTTGCATCGGGGTTAAAGGTTTATATGGGGTTGTGGTAATGTTGGGTTCAGCCACTTGAGCCTTTCATGGATCCAACTGCGCACCCCTAAGCAGCAAACTCTGCAGCCTGGACCATGTGCCAAAAGGGGATCTGCACACGGAAACCTGAAAGCTATGTTAAATCTTATAACAACTTAAACCCCGGCCCCAAACCCCAAATGCCACGCCCGACCTCCAAACCGGATCCCAGTCGGTTTCTCACACCTTTCCAGAGAGCCCTGTAGTGCAATCTTCTCAGAATCCCCAAGCAGGGATCAACGAGCGTCTGTAGGATGGTAGGAGTTTCGTTTGTTTTCGGGGGCTTTGGATTTTGAGGGTTTGCCTTGGACCTGGGCGTGTCCTTCGATGACCATGATCATGAAGATGGAGGGTTGAAGATGAAGCGTCTCTTGATGTCTTAGCCCTAACGCCCTAAACCCTAAAGGCCTAAACCTTAAACCCTCAAGAACCACAAGCCCCGAGACTTGAAAGGCTTCAGGGCCAGGAGCTTTAGGGTGTAAAAGTCTAGCGTTCTAGGGGCCTAAGTAATTGCCAGTACTATTTTCGGGGGTTCCTTATCCTAAACATACGATAAAGGACCCTATTCTAACTCATAAGGCCCCAATATTTTGGGGGTTCCTTGTCATAAACATACTATAAACGAGCCCAAAACCCTCATGATTCCTAAACCCTAAACCCTAAACCCTAAACCCTAATTCATAAGGCCCCTACGGTAGGCTCGGACTGGAAATCTGCCACCCACGAACCCCACGCCCTTCTGGACCCCACCTGTACGGAAACGAGTCGGCAAATGGTTTCGGGGCTTAGGGCTTAGGGTTTAGGGATTTAGGGGCTTAGGGCTTTGGG